ATTTCCTTCCTGTTCAGTATCATTGATTCCAGCATTTGAAATTTTAATAATCATATTTTTCATCTGAAAGAAATCATTTTTCATTTCTGATTGTTCTAATGTTCTCATTAAATAGCCACTTTTCTTTCTTTAATCTGCTAAAGAATATGAATATGAAATAGAGGTTTTTGGAAATACTCTTTTTTCTCATGGAATATATGTACAATTTAATACACTAATATTTAGGTTGACCCATGACTTCTCATGATTTCTTTTTTGCAAATTTTGTATATTAAGAGCTAGTTATCTGTTGTCATTTTTGTCCAGTCATAGGATTTAAGTTATTTTTTTAAATTTCCCGAAGTTACAAAAGGTGCTTTTAAAATGTATATTCCTTATAATGCAGCCATAAAAAAGAATGAGATCATGTCCTTTGCAGGGACATGAATGAAGCTGGAGTTCATTGTACTTAGAAAAGTAACACAGGAAAAGAAAACCAAATACCACATATTCTCACTTACAAGTGGGAGCTAAATGATGAGAACACCATGGACACGTAGAGGGGAACACCACACACTGACTGGGGCCTTTTGGAAGGTGGAGGGTGGGAGGAGGGAGAGAATCAGGAAAAAGAATTACTGGGTACTAGGCTTAATACCTGGGTGATGAAATTATCTGTACAATAAACACTCATCAAATAAGTTTACCTACAGAACAAACCTGCACCTGTAGCTCTGAACTTAAAATAAAAGTTTTAAAATATATTTTGATAAAAAGAAACACAGAAGAAACAAAACAAAATAAAATAATATAAAATGAAATGTGTGTTCCTGAGTTAGGGGTTCAGTTGAGTCTGAAGTGGGCTTTTGTGTCACAGCAATGCCCATGTTTCCTTCTAGTTCATGAATTCGGCTGTAACAGCCAGCAGCAGATCGTGGTTGTTCATCACTGGTCAGGATTGTTTTGTTTGCTAGGAGGGAGAATGATGAAAAACATAAGAGAAAAACGCATGCTTCTATCTGCTTGTATAATCAGTTTGTTATCAGTTTGTGGACTAAAGACCAATTTGCCATGTTCCTGGACAGAGTCTATTCCACTTTTATAAGCTTCTACACGGAGTCTTCAAACTTTTCTCAAGAAAGCCGTGAGCTTTTTGAAGGCAGAGATGGTATCTCCTCTAGGGTGGAGGCAGGAAATTTACACGTGTGCTCAGTTTTTAGGACTTGTAGGAATGACAGAATGAATGAAGATGCAAGCCAAGCAGTCAATGGGTGAGTTCTCCTGTAACCACTGCACTGTGAGAGTCCTGCTGTCCCTAGACTGCCTCACTGTGTCCCCTCCCTGGGACCACTGTGGTGGGTGTACTCTGCACCAATTTTATGCTATGCTGGGAGGGCATCTCAGGGAACAGCAGGTGTATGATACCCGAGGAGATAGACATGTGGTCTCTTTTTATTCACGTATTACTATCTCTGATGCTGCACTTAGTCTTTCCTTGGAACTCTCTCCATCTCTATCCATTTTTCTCTGCCTCCCTTTTCTCTGTCCTGGTGGCCTTGAAGCTCAAAGGATGGAGAAATCATCAGATCAGTGGATACAATAATTTGTTTATATTCCAACTTTGTAAATCAGGGATTATATGACTTTGGCCAAGTTGTTCACTTCTATTCCAAGTTCCAGTTTCTTTATATACAGGACCCAACACTGAAACAGATGAACTTTCAGGTATTTTTGAGATTCTCTAGTCAATTCTCGATGTCAGTTCGTTCCCACCAGTCAGTTTCCCAGTTACTCTTTGCTTCCAGGTAGGCACCGCACTACCTTTCCCCACTATTTTTCCTCCACTTTCCGGAGCAGCCCATGCTGCTGGCAGTGGGGCTCTCTCCTTAGAAGTCACTGCATTTCTATACTGCTTTGAGGCACAGATATCAATCCCTTTTCTAGGTAAGACAACTGGAGTTCAGGGAGGTGAACCCACTAGCAAAAGTGACATAGCAGTTAACTATCAGAACCAGAATTTGATTTTAGGCCAATTTGAAACCATGATCTCTTGCCCTTTTGTATTTCATTTTGCTCAAAATAAAAATTCAGAAAACATAGAGCAAACATGGTTTTTATTAATTTAGAAGTTAATTCACAGTTCTGCATTATTATTTTCTCCTTATGTGTTGGGCACTACGCAGAGAACACAGACTGCCTTAGTATGAGTAAATGAAAGGGCATTTCAGTGCTAGCTGATACTGGCTCCTAGACCCTAGCTTGGAGTTGAAGAAGGGTAATAACTCTTAGCTCTCCACACAGAGGTGAATGGGCAATGCCCCGGCCGCCTGTGGTGTCTGCAGCTGTGCCGAGTCTATCTTGCAGGTCAGTGATTAGTGGTGGAAAAGGACTCGTGCTTGCTTGATGTTAGAGATACCACATGAGAGAGGCTGCACAAGTTCTGACATCAAACTGCCTCGGGAGAATGTACACGGGACTAAATGGGTGTGTGGGCCTGACCCCACTCTTAAGTCATTGAGTAATTCTTTTAATTAGTCACACAACACTTTCTAAATCTAACCACAACATTTAGAAACAACATTTGTTTAGAAATTCAACATGCTGCACCAGAACCAAGTTTGATCGTATTGCTTGTGACTCAGGGTCTAAAGACTGCAACGAACTTAGCAAAGATGTGGTTGGTATCCAAAGGGAAAAGCTCTTCATTTCAAGGTAACATCTGCTTGAAGGGCTTGGTGCCCCAGAGGGTACTTTACCAGAAGGCCATTAAAGATACAAATGGTCTCTAAACTCCAACTTATTTTATGTTTCAATTCAGCAAGCCAGAGTCATCAATTTTTTTTCGTTTTTTCTTTTTTTTTTTTTTGGTCTATTCAACAATACTAGTCAGGGAGGCAGGTAAACATGAAATTGGCAGATGATAACTCTGAAACCTAAACCCGTAGAGTAAAGCCAAATTAAAACATTTGCAAATGTTCTTATTCTTGTATGTTGATTCATTCAAAATAGAGACTTCCTTTTTGATTTTTAAATAGATACTAGTTTCATTCCCATGACAATTTTGTTAAATATAAAGAATGTTTTCTTATACACTTCCACAGGACAATAAACAAATTGAAGTGCAAAGTCATTCCACTCCGAGAAGGGAAATTTCAAAATACATTTTAGAATTCAGGAACTTTTGCACTGCATGTGAATTAACTATTTTTAGCCTAAACATGAGACTTATATTTAGAGGCTGAAATCAGCTGATATAGCCTTATTTATGGTCTGACCCAACTGAGAAATGAAATCCGCTGTGATCATGGGCTTGGACATATAAATTCAAACTTAGTCTCTAAATATAAGGGGATCCTGATGACTAAAGGTAACATTTGCTGGAGTTTTCAGACTTAACAAAAGAGTGTCCATTTTTGAGTGTTTTACATTACATTTTTTTAATTGAATTTTTTTTAATTCAGCAGCTAAATTCCTTTTTAAATGATTTTATATCTTGTCTTGATTACTAATGGGAGCTTAGAAATCATACTGAAAACTTCATTAAGTTCTTCATTCATATTTCAGTAAAAGTTACCTCAACTGACTTTCACATATATTTTGCAAACTTAGCTTAATTTTATCAGAACATCTTTGGTAAAAATTATTGATATGCTTTTATTTCTTTGGAAAACACAATGTATTAGCCAACCTACTGTGGTAAAATCAACTGTGTTTTTCTCAGTAGAGTGATGGTCCATTTTTTTCTTTATTCTTATTAGCAGGGGAGATCAGATACTTCCCCAGTCATAAGGATTCAGAATTACTCATTTGAATGGGAGGATATAATCTCAAAGTTCCTTTTGAAGCTAGTAAATATCATCCTAGTCTAAATTAGTTCTTTCTAGCAATAATTCAACAAATGACATTTCTTATAACTGGATTTCACCTTATTTTCTAGTGAAAGTGCCTTTTAAAATGTATGGAGTAGTGAAATGAGCAGACCAAGGAATTTAAAGACATAGGGAAAAATAATAAAGTGGTAAGAATTTTCCAAAACCATGAGTTCACTGTCTTTTTCTTCACATATTTGATTAGTTTATAGAACTGAATACCTTCACAACTTAGAGTAATAGAAAAACTACCTCTCCACTTTTGTTGTTGTTGTTTGTTTGTTTTCAGAATTTGGCTTCATTATGTAGTAGAGAAATAATTTGGAGTCATTTTGAGACAGAAGTAGGAGTTCTGTCAAGTCAATACTGCATTGCAGTTTGGTCCACTGAAGAAGCTATGCCTGAGATACAAAAGATGCTTCTACACGTTACCCGTTTTGTTTTTGTTTTTGTTTTTTGAGACGGAGTCTCTCGCTCTGTTGCCCAGGGTGGAGTGCAGTAGCCGGATCTCAGCTCACTGCAAGCTCCGCCTCCCGGGTTCACGCCATTCTCCTGCCTCAGCCTCCCGAGTAGCTGGGACTACAGGCGCCCGCCACCTCGCCCGGCTAGTTTTTTGTATTTTTTAGTGGAGACGGGGTTTCACCGTGTTAGCCAGGATGGTCTCAATCTCCTGACCTCGTGATCCGCCCGTCTCGGCCTCCCAAAGTGCTGGGATTACAGGCTTGAGCCACCGCGCCCGACCCCACGTTACCCGCTTTATGTTCACTTCCTCTCCCCTTTTCTCTCATCAACTTTATTGGGTTAAAACGCCACATACAGCTTTGTGTAAATGACTCCCTGTGTCTGGAGTTTGGTTAGAATTTTACGTCCTAAACCAAACTTGTGGCTATGCTGTTTGCACACTGCCGTAAGACTTGACATAATACAAAATATAAAGTCATAGGAAAAACTTCTGGATGCCACCCCAAACCATGGAGTATTCAATTTAGAATCTCCTGAATGTCAGGATGACAGATGGCACACAATCTGTATGGATCCAGCTCTTGAGCAGCAGAAGCTCATAACTGAGAGGCTACACTGATTAAAAGATACAAACACTGTTTCAAGTTGTCTGTATCAGAATCACAATGTTTGTTTGAAACTGATCCTTCACTGGGGAAAAAAAAAAACCAGTTTGATTAAATTGAAGAGAATGTGGTAACAGGTGAATTCTGAATAGCCACTCCATGAAAACAAGTTAATATATGATATTAGAAAGATGAAGGGGAGGAGTATTTACTGACACAGCACTCTTCAATCTCTCCATTTTGATTACAAAAGCAGGCCTTACAATATTGATTTCATATAATATGCATTATTTACCAAATTTTAAATTTGTCCTAATTGGATAATAACATGTACTGCTGTTAGTCTTCCCCATAGATGTCATTTTTCTTATGCTTCATTTCCTCAAAGTCAAACTCTAATCCTCTAATCTTCTTATAGATGTTTTTTAATGTCATCCCAATTGTCTCAAAGTGAGTGGTAGGATTGTGTGCACTGGAAATAAAGATCTGGCTTTCTGTTACCAAGTCTTTCGGTACCAGGAGGCCACTGATGCTAATAAATTCCCATCTAGTTGGATCCAAGAGCTCCATAGCTGGTCTGACTTCCTTCTCAGGCTCCTTGGTTTCCACAGTTGTAGTAACTATGGCAATATACTTCCCATGTGCTGCTACATTGTGCGAGGAGGAGATCGTGGAAACACAGATATCTGACTTTCGACTGACTTGGTTCTGTGGAATAATGATCTGGCAGGAGTTGACATCACTGGTGTTCTTGATGAGGTGGCTGAGGATGCAAATAACTCTGATTACCTGGCCCACTTTTTCTGGCCAATCTTTTATATAGTGGAGGTCACAGATGACCTGCTTACAGTGAGCAATTTCACCTTCAGATTTTACACCAATTACTTTTCCATTCTGCCCAATGATTTCTTCAATTGGTTTATTCAGCATATAGGTACCTTCATAAATAGCACTTAGCCTTGCAGAAAGCCTTGTGGCAGTTCTCCAAGGCCACAGAGTGAATAAAGGTATGGACTTTTGCCATATCTTGCCAAAGATTCACTGTCATGTTTAATTCTATTAATGGTTTCACAACATGGTTGATCTAAGTAGTCATCAGTTTTGTAAAGTGCAAGAGCATGACCAGTAAAATCTGCAACATCTTGGCCCAAATCAAATTTCTTATACACCTCTCACATTGTGGTCTTCTTAGGATCAATTCCCTCTGAAGTTCTCGGATCTTTTTCCTCTAAGTTGGCAAAATATACTAGGAATTTCCTGAAGTGACGTTTCTTAAACAGTCCTATTAAGCTAGATGTCAGGGCTTCTGTTTCAGTGGAAGGAACCTTGTAGATTTTTCCACCTTTATAGACAAATCTCCCTTCAGTCACTAAAATCCAGATAGCGAGTTATCTCTGTATAAAGCAGCGTCTTAACCAGCTGACCATTAGCCACAAGGAACTTGGGAATCAAGTCAACATTCCAGTCTCTTCCTCTCCTCATTGATGCTGATGGTGGTCCCAGTATTTTAAATCTTTTGTATAAATCTTCCAGTAATGTTATAGAGTCACTCTCTCCTCCATAGTAAAGGTTTCAATCCATATGAAGAACTTTCTTGCCCTTCACTGACTTTATACCAGAAAGGATACATTCCACCAGGCCGATGCCCAGCACAATCACATCGTACTCCTCATTCATGGTGGATGGGGCAGATGTGGACGCAGGACCCGAAAAAGCAAAAGGCGCATGGGCTCCGTGACCACCCTATGAGGCTGTGAGGTGCTCTCTGGCATGAGGGAAACTGGAAGAGTATCTTTCCACCTTTTTTTTTTCTTTTCTGAGATGGAGTCTCGCTCTGTCACCCAGGCTGGAGTGCAGTGGCGTGATCTTGACTCATTGCAACCTCCCCCTCCCAGGTTCAGGCAATTCTCCTGCCTCAGCCTCCTGAGTAGCTGGGACTACAGGTGTGCACCACCACACCCGGCTAATTTTTGTATTATTAGTAGAGATGGGGTTCCACCATGTTGGCCAGGATGGTCTCGATCTCTTGACCTCATGATCCACCTGCCTCAGCCTCCCAAAGTGTTGGGATTACAGGCGTGAGCTACCATGCCCACCCCTCTCCACTTTTTAAGGAAATATTATTTCTAGTTAAGTTTACACTGGATCTTCAACTTTATGAAAATCATCTAATTTAAAAATATTTTCAATACTTTTTCTTTGACTTCATTTTCCTAAGTAGACATTTCTCCTGCTTGAGTATGGCCTAAATATATTGTTTTGTTTCCATAGCTTGAAGGATATTGGATTTAACATTATCAACATGTAAATCACTGCTCTGCCACTTACTCAGTTGAGTAAAATGGGAATAATAATATCTACCATGTGAGACTACAAAACGGGTTACTGATGTCATGTTCGGGAGATCCCCAGCACACACAGTATCTGGTGGACAGCTGTCTTTCATAAATATATGTTAAACTGGAAAATCAAGTCATGCTCTCTTTGATTTATTTTTACGAAGAATATGAAACAAGATAGCATAATTAATGATAGAGACAGGACTTGAACTCAGCCCCTCTCCTGTTTCAACCACTTTTTCAGGCACATAGATACAAAGCAAAAACATAAAATAAAAGTAAATAAAACAGATAACATGAAAATATTTTTTTCCTTATTCCTTAAAACATATTTCTGTTTGGCCACACATTCATTCTGATCCAAGTTTCTCTGTAGAGAGCTGTTGTCCAGCATTTATTGTGTGTATGGCTGGTTAAAAATGAATGCAACATTCTCAGCTCTTGCAAACCAACTGCAAAAGACAAAGAATGGCAGCCAAATGAGGAGGATAGGTGTTCCATGAGAACATCTCAGAGAATCGTCAACCAATATGCCCTGCAGTATCAGACTGTATTGATGTTGGTTCTATGTTGAGCTTTACTGCCATTTGCTATTTATTTTGACAAGCAGTTAAACCATCAGGAATGTGCTGATTCATTGCCCCTCTGATAGGAGATCATGGAGCACAGGGGACAGTTTGGTAAGTAGGCTTCACGCTGTGCTATTTTTTTCCCTAAAGGTTTGGTTTATCATTAAGAAGCAGGGAAATGTGGCAGAAAAACAAAACAAAACAAAAAACCATGGCCTGGATTATAAGACCCCTTTTTTTTTTTTTTGAGCTGGAGTCTTGCTCTGTTCCCCCGGCTGAAGTGCAGTGGTGTGATCTCGGCTCACTGCAAGCTCCGCCTCCCAGGTTCATGCCATTATCCTGCCTCAACCTCCCGAGTAGCTGGGACTACAGGTGCCCGCCACCACACTCGGCTAATTTTTGTGTATTTTTAGCAGAGACGGAGTTACACTGTGTTAGCCAGGATGGTCTTGATCTCCTGACCTGAGTATCCACCTGCCTCGGCCTCCCAAAGCATTGGGATTACAGGCGTGAGCCACCATGCCTGGTCTGTAAGACGCTTTTTTTCTAGCACCAATTTTGCTAAAAATTCTCAATATATAGGTTATGATATTTAATTTTATGTGACAACTTAACTGGATCATAGAGTGCCTAGATACTTGGTTCAACATCATTCTAGGGGTATCTGTGAGGGCATTTGTGGATGTGATTAACATTGGAATCAGTAGACTGAGTAGAACAGATTACCCTTCCCCAAGTGGGTGTACAGCATCATCTACTTAGGTGAAGACCTGAATAGAACAAAAAGTTGAAGGAAGGAAGAATTCACTCTCCTCTCTGTGTGAAGGCTTGAGCTGGAACGTTGGTCTTCTGCTGCCCTCAGACTGGAAATTACATCACAGATGCCCCTGATTCTCAGGCCTTTAAACTCAGACTGAAATTATGCAACTGGTTTTCTTGGGTCTTCAACACCCAGAGATCAAATTATAGGGATTTCTCAGCATACATAATCATGTGAGCTTATTTCTTATAATAAATATCTTTCTATATATTGCATATGTAGATACGGATATATGATATCTATTATATTCTGTCTACATACTGTGAAAGCATATGTATCTTTAGATCTATATCTATATGCATGTATGCATGGATGTAAGTATATATGTATGTATGTATCTATTTACCTACCAATCATCTATTTTATTTGTTCTGTTTTTCTGGAGAAACTTGGCTAGTGAAATGCATCCTTAGGCAATTTTATCATTGTGTAAACATCATACAGTGTACCTACACAATCAAAGATGGTATAGTATACTACACACCTAAACTATATGGTATAGCCTATTGCTTCTAGGCTATAAGCCTGTATATCATGTACTAAACACGGTAGGCAATTGTAAAACAATGGCAAATATTGGTTTATCTAAACTTAGAAAAGTTGGTGGAAGGTGGAAGTATGAAAGATTAAAAAATGATACACTTTTATAGGGAGCTTATCATGAACGGAGCTTACAGGACTGTAAGTTGCCCTGGGTGAGACAGTGGGTGAGTGCTAAGTAAATGTGAAGGCCTAGAACATTATGACACACCACTGTAGACTTTGTGAACACTATACACTTTGGCTACATACAATTTATTGGAAAATATTTTTCTCCAATAAAAAATTAGCCCTAGCTTCCTGTAACTTTTTTACTTTATTAACACTTAGCTTAAAACACATTGTGCAACTGTACAAAATTATTTCCTTTCTTTGTATTTTTATTCTATATGCTGTTTTCTGTTTTTAAATCTTAATTGTATTTACTTTTTAAACTTTTTGTTAAAAACTAACACAGAAATACACACACTAGCCAAGGCCTACACAGGTCAGCACTGTCAATATCATGGTCTTCCACCTCCACATCTTGTCCCACTGGGAGCTCTTCAGGGAAAATAACATGCATGGAGCTGTCATTTCCTGTGATAACAATGCCTTCTTCTGGATAGCTCCTGAAGGACCTGCCTGAAGATGTTTTACAGTTAACTTTTTTTTTTAAGTAGAAGTACACTTTAAAACAATAATGAAAGCATAATATAGTAAATACAAAACCAATAACATAGTCATTTATTACAATTATCAAGTATTATGAACGGTACATCACTGTATCTGCTACAATTTTATACAACTGGTCACACAGTAGATTTCACTACACCAGCATGTCCCCAAACATGTGAGTAATGCTTTATGCTACCTCACCACGGATATGACGTCACTAGGCAATAGGAGTTTTTCAGCTCTGTTGTAATCTCATGGGACCATCCTCGTACATGCGTTTCATCTTTGATGTGTGGCATCATTATGTGACACATGACCATAGGTAGCAATACTACTTCCAAATCATACCCTGGATTCTTCCTCTTCTCCCCGCTGCCTCATTGTGTTGGCAGTTTTTCCTATCCTCATTTACCTGGATCACAACAATAGTCATCTAACCAGTTTATTTCCTTTCTTGACATCCTATATTACAGTATTTATCTCCACGATAGCCTGGCTTATCATCTATAAATGAAAATCAGTCCATGACTTTTTCACATTTAAAACCATCAGAGGCTGCCCATCAGAGTATAAACCCTACCTCCTTCCCACAGCTTGCACAAGTTCTTCACGGTCTGCCACTGGCTACTGCCCCCACTGCATTCCACACCATCCTTGAGCTGGCCACCAAGTTCATCCACGGTGTCTTTTGTCATGTGTGGGCTTTTGTATAAGTGTCAGAGGGACTTCACACTAGGAGGCATTTCCAGCCAGATACACTTTTTCCTATGACATTCATGCCGCAGACTGCTTCTTATCATTCAGATTTCACAAACAACTCTCCAGATGGTCTCAATCAGCTGTCCTGATTCTTTTGTCCACTCCACAGTAATCCCTGCTCAGCATAAATCACTATTTCCTAGTTTTCAAATGATTAAATAAATGTATTGATGTGTTCATCGATGTGCTTCCTCTCTGTCTGGCTCATGGGGATGTGTATTTTCTGAGAGAAAGAAGCAATTATTCAACACTATTTCTCCAGTTCCAGGTACAGAGGCATGTCTAATATAAAATAACCATCCTAAAGTATTTGTTGAATTAAGCAACGTGAAACATTTATTTCAATAGTGTACATCAAATGAATTTGGTACAAATGCACAATTTATATGTCAAATCTGCCTTAATACTTTCCTCATTAGTGTGCTGTAATTAAAATACAATTATGTGACAATACTGCATTGTGTGATGGTTTTCAATGATTTATGATCTTGTCTTTGTCAACTTGGATGGCTATAACAAATTATCATGGCTGATATACAATAAAAATTGATTTCCCACAGTTTTGGAGGCTGGAAAGTTCAAAGTCAAGGCAGCAGTAAGCAGATTTAGTGTCTGGTGAGTGTGTACTTCCTGGTCATAAACAGTTTCTTTTATAATGTCTTCAGATGGAGGAAGGGAGCTCTCTGGGCCTCCTTTATGAGGGCACTAATCCCCCTATGAGAGCTCCACCTTTATGACCTAATCACCTCCAGGAGACGCCACCTCCAGCCACCATCATATTGGGGATTAGGTTTAATCATAAAAATTTTGGGGAGATAAAAACATTCGGTCTCTAGCAGATCTCTTATCATCATCCACAAAATGAAAACACAGAATAAAATAATTATCATTAGGAACTCACAACTCCCTGAAACATATCTATGGGTTTCAGTTTTTGAATGTACTAGACAAGCATTGAGTCAGTCTCCTCTGAATGTCTGGATTCAACTGAGT